AGGGGGTCTGGGCAGCTGTATGTTGCTTGCGGACCTTATTTTCCATTCGTTACTAAGACAAAAAGAATCGAAGTTTAATTCACTTTACATAAAATGAACATTTTTTTTCGGGTCATAACACAAATAACAGAAAAATTTCATTTTTATAAAGGTAATACCTGCTAATTTATTGAATTTGACCAAATTTTCAGTTTTAACCTTAGAACATTTTATTTTTCTCCGTTATTTGTGTTATAATCTTGTAAAGGTTTTACATTTCTGTAAAGTTAATTCAATTTCCATACTTTTTGTCTTTTGTAACCTTTTTTATAAATCCTATGTTTTTAGTATTTAAGCTTAAAAAAAAATGGTTGTTTTTTATTATACAAATTAGAAACTTAATGCTTTGTAAAAGAATAATTCCTATTAGTCATTATACAGTATACACGTACCAAGTTTGAAGTTAGTACCTCAAGTGGTTCTAAAGTTATAGGAAGTTATGTGAAAATTCTACATACTTATCGATATTTTACTCGTATGTTCCAGTTGACTTAAGGAACATGACCACGGAGTTTCGGGAGAGAGTTTCGAAACACCTTGTATAGATGTATCATAAAATAATGGTATCCAATCGTTCATTGGTCTATACGGAAATGCATTGCTCTTAAGGAAGGTTTTGATTAACTGTGAAATCAAGTCCAACTTTAGTAAGATGCAAATATAAAATTTAAATAATAAACAAAGCAAAACCGACAGGCAACAAAAAAATTCATAAACTGAATAAGACAAAATAACAGTGCATATGTTTTCAATAATTAACACACTCTTTCCTCTCTTGAACGAGATGAAATCCCTAAGATAGTCATTTACGTATACTACGCTATGGATGAGTTTTGGAAGGCACTGAACTCGAGTCTACGTGAGAACTGTTTGTATGTTCAAAAGGTTCATCCGTGTCTCAAAAAAGTCCCACTAGAATAATTTTCTTCTTGCTCTTGATTTTGGTCCATTAAGACTCCGGTTCTCGAATAATTTGTTCATTTCCGTCTGTTTCTGAGGATGATGGTCAAGGCACTGGGTCCAGGTCTCTTATAGACACTGTCTTCTCCAGTTCAAGGGAAGTGATACAAGAGCAAAACGTGGATTTAACTTACTTGAACAAGTTTAACTTCTTGAACAAGCTTAACTTCTTGTACAAGTGAGTCATACTTTCTGGATCTGTTTTGCTTTTAAGCAGCACTGAGCCGGGTTGTGACCGCCAGCTTGGAACTGAACCTTCATAATAAGATCTCCTGGCGTTTTTATATGCATCATGCATGAGGTATTATATTGGTTGATGGAAATAATAACGATCTTATTGAGTCAAGTGTTTCCCAATTACTTTACTGGCCCTGTGTTCTGCGAGCAAGTATAACGGTCTTCCATATGGCCATTCCCTCTAGGATAATAAGCAGAAGAGTGGCTTGACGCCACACCATGAGTTTGTAGGAAAGATTTTCATTATTCCGACAATTATGACTTTCCTAGGTCTGTATTGATGAACGAAGGTATACCGAAAATTGTAAAAAGTTCTTCCAGTTTCTCACGGTAATGGACGTCATGTCTCAACAGAGGAAAGGAAGTGGATGTCGGGTGAATACTTGCCTACGATAGTTATTACTAGGATTGCTTTCATAGCAGTGAAAGCCAGTTGAGCGGAGCAATCATGGTTCATGGGCTTTAATAAAGCAATAAATTAAAGAAGTTTATAGATATAATACAAAATAAAAATGTTCACACACTCTACACTACTATGGCCTTTGCTACTTCCTTCACCACTTCCTACGTCGTGGACCTGTTTCCCTCCCTTCCCATAGCATGTTAGGATAGCTGATACATTAATCTAACTCCCACAAAGGGTTACCACACTCAGCACCTTTAGCATTTACTACGTACTTCACCCCTTCCTACGTAGCGGACCTGTTTCCCACCCTTCCTAGAGCATTTTAAGATTGCAGATACATTAATTTAACTGCCACAGACGGTTCCCACACGCCGCACTGCTGGCCTTTACTACTTCATTCACCACTTCCTACGTCATGGACCTGTTTCCCTCCCTTCCTATAGCGTTTTAGTATTGCACATACATTAATGTAACTGCCACAAACGGTTCCCACACTCCGCACTGGCAGCATTTACTGTTTCTTCACAACTTCCTACGTCGTGGACTTGTCTCCCCCTTACCATAAAATTTTATTTTAGAATATAGTATTTTAGATACAATTATCTAACTGGCAAAAACGTTTCCCACAGTCCGCACTTCTCGCCTTTACTATTTCCTTCGTCACTTCCTACGTCGTCGTGAACCTGTTTAGGTTTTGGAGTTGGATACATGAATGTCATTCACCGACAAATTGTTCAAGATAAAATGTTATTTGTTATGACCTTATTTAGCAACGTAAATCAAATCTGTTAAATACTGTACCTAAGAAAGTGTGTTTCAAATATGACTTTACCTTTCGATCAGTGGTCGTTTCCAAATTGCAACTTAAATGTAAACCCAGGAGTTTCTCTGTATTATTTGATCAGTTATCATAAACCGATTTTTTCATTTGTACTGTGTTTAGGTAGTTTAGGTCGTGGCTTGATTTTAACATTATGCTAGTATTCTTTGTTTTGTTTACATTTACGTCATTTTTTGTAACCATCATTTCAACCCCTTTAGGCCAATGTTAAAATAAAAAATCTTTGAGTTACTTAAAAATTATATAGGCATTATCGAAAGTTGAAATTGGTTACGTCTTAACCATCCAAACGTTTGGCAAAATAACCTTGGTAAGTTTGGCTAAAATGTATTTGGTCGTTATTTAGATCAAGTGTTATAAAGATTGCATTGCAGTTGATCCCAAAGAGTTTTGCTTTGCTCCGCTCAATTAATATACTTATTTTGGGTATCACTTATAAACGGGGTTTTAAAGTCTAGGTTCAGGTGCTCAAAAGGTGTGGTGGATGTGATTAACTTGCTTATTTTCAAAACGTTTGCTAAAGTTAAGAACAAGTTCGACATTGAGCTGTAGTACGACGAACCTTTTCCAGTGACAAAATAAGTTTTTCGATCCATTCGAGTGGTAAAATCTTGTCACTCCTGGTTGGTACAGACTCATGCAGATATCATAAGTTTGGACGACGAATCAAATTGATCCACATAGACGTTACATGGTGCCTGCAACTCTATTTTCCTTGCCTGGACCATAGGTATACGAAATCATACTTGAAACAAGACAGTTGTAAACACCAACGCTGTATATTTTCATGCTTTATTTTTCCAAACTTTTTGTTGTTGACATAAAAAAACCGATCTTTGGTCAGTAATGAAAATAACAATTCATATGTTTTAAAATATTACCACATATACCATGGTAAAATATAATCAGGATTCCCATCATACAGGACCATTGCATAACCACGTGGTTGGTAGGCATTTGACGTAGTTTCAAAATAAAACAGTTATAATAAAGATTACATTATTTTTTTATTTATGAAAATTCGCTTTAACCACTAAGGTTGTTTTTTCCAAGTGTAAAGTTTTAATTAATAAACTTACAAGTTTCATCGTGTTACTTAATGTTGAATTTATTGAGTGTTAATACAAGTAAACGTACAAGCTAAATCGTTTAGCAATGATGGTTCAAACTAAATAGCCTAAATCATTTAAACGATTTTTTTACCAGATAACTACTTTCTTATTTAGTTTAAAAGTTACCACTACTTGTATTGGTTTGTTTCATACAAAGATACGTTCGTTAGTATATCCTAGTCTTGGTGCCCAAGCAATATACATTATGCAATGTCGATCCTCAGCCGAGGTCAGATACAAGACAGACAACTGAAACGTAAATTCTTGATCACCTTAAAGCTTGTGGATTAGTCATAGCTTGTATGTAGATTATGTTTACACTAGACATAAACAGTTAAACCCGTATAAGTATGGTCAATTATTTAGAGTGTAGAAGTTGAGGGGTGATATACAGGTTTATATGAGGTGTATAGTTTGCAGATTTCTGTTTAAGTATTGATTGTGTTTTGGGTGTAGCCTATGTTGTAGTATAATTTATATCAGCGAATTTATTGTATGTAGAGCTTATAAAACGAATAATTTATTATTTTTAAGCACGTTGCAAGCTAAATGGTTGCGGAGAAAATATAAAGATCTGTATATTCAAAATTGTAATGTTATTCTTATGGAGGATAAGTAAAATGCTGTAATTTGATTGCATATAGATATATTTTAATTAACATTGTTTATTTCATATTAAACTATCAACATTTTAATAAAAAACTCTTGAATAACTTGCCTGTAGCACCAAACCTATGTACTCATTAAAATTAATGTTATTTATATAGGAAATAAATCGGTGTCATTGTAAAGGCAATATTTGAGCAAATCATCAAAATAGAAACTCAATCAGCAGGTTTCCTGCATTGGGGATATTTACCATGTATTGGGATTCAATACTCAATTCACTAACAAAAATAAATAATAAATAATAAATAGTAAAAAAATCTTAATAAAAGTGACTAAGTTTACCATTTTCGACGTGAGTTGTTTCACGTTAGCATGGTACAGCAAATCCCGCAGTACCATTTAAGTCCCAAACATTATAATGACACCTCTTATATAATCTGAAAGGCAAATCATTCAAATAATCCATCTTTACATAAACTGAAAAAATACAATATACAGGGTGGTCCACGGGAAACGGACGTATTTGAATCGCGCGGTACTCGGCGACTGGTGGAGGGGGAGACTCGCGGTGAAGGTCATTCGACTCCCTACTCCGCGCCATTTAGTTGCCATCATGCCGCTGTGGACGAAAGATCATCGCGTGTTTGTATACGATACCTTTGTTAAAAGTGGTGAGTCTGTTATCGAAACTCAACGGTGTTTTAGGCGTCATTTTCGTATTGGTCGTCATGGTGAAGTCCCAAGTCGGAATACAATTTTAAGGTGGGTGAATGCATTTAGATCTAAAGGATCCGTAATGAAAACAAAGCCACCCGGCCCTTCTCGCACTGCACGTACTCCACAAAACGTGGATAGAGTGAGAGATGCGATTCAGCGCAGTCCTGGCCGTTCCGCAAGGCGTCACGCAACGGAACTTGGGCTGAGTAAGAGCACAGTGAAACGGATATTACACAAGGATTTAGGGTTTCATCCATATAAAATTATGATTGTACAGAAGTTAAACGATGCTGATTATCAACAACGCGTTATGTTTGCTGAAACAATGTTAAACATGTTTGAAGAGAATGACGACATAAAAATTTTAATGAGTGATGAAGCCCACTTCCATTTGGATGGGACTGTTAATAAACAGAACTGCCGTTATTGGGCCTTGGAAAACCCTCGTGAGCTACATCAGAGACCATTGCACAGTCAAAAAGTCACCGTTTGGTGTGCTGTAGGGAAATTTGGAATTTTCGGACCATTTTTCTTTGAAGAAAACGAAAGAACTGTGACTATAACTTCTGAACGATATGTCAATATGATGACAAACTTTTTCATTCCGGAACTTGAAAGACAAGGAATCGACCCCGATCATGTATGGTTTCAGCAGGACGGGGCTACTGCGCATACGGCCCGAGCCTCTATGGCAGCAGTTCGAGCATTGTTCCCAGGGCGACTAATCTCACGGTTCGGTGATGTTGCGTGGCCACCACGTTCACCGGACTTATCAATGTGCGACTTTTTTCTTTGGGGTCACCTGAAGGCAAATGTTTACAAAGAAAAGCCACGAACTCAAGAAGAATTGAAGAATGCAATTCGGTACCAAATTGAACTAATCAATGAACAGTTATTGATAAAAGTGGAAACCAGTTTTCGAGAAAGACTCAATATGTGTGTCAATTCAAATGGCCGTCATTTGGGTGATGTAATTTTTAAAAAATGAATCAAGGTACTTTTTGTAAATGGCATAACTTTACCTTTATTTCTGTACTAATAAAATTTGTTTATGTTTCTAGCTTTTAGAGCTATTGTTTTTTTAAATACGTCCGTTTCCCGTGGACCACCCTGTACAAGCAAAATATGCGCCTTTTAAAGTTTGAAAGTATTTACGTATTAATTGATGGGAACTTGCCAAATTAGTATTCATTAGACTTCACAGCCAGCGTGCGGTGATGTAAGCTTGTTAGGCCTCGTTCAATAACTAATTACATGCTCAATTTGGTTCCGCAAGGCAAAGTGTGTGCAATGATTACCATAAAAATTCATTCTTATGAATTACGTTCTACTATGTCAATATACTATGGGTTCTTAGGTTATTTTTTAGGTAGTTTGATAATAAACATACTTTTAATTTATAAAATAAACATCTCTGAATTTAACAATTTACATATTTAATTCAAATTTGATTTATATAAAAAATAATACAAAGCTGAATAATTTTTTAGAGAAAACTGGTCTAGTAAAAAATATAAACAAATAGTTATAATAATAAAGTTAAGTAATAAATAATTAGTTATGAAAATAATACTTTTATAAATAACAAAAAAAACTAATTATTCAATCAAATGTTATGTTTTAAAACTCCTAACTGACGTATAACAGATGTTGTAATGATATTTAGACTATGTAAAAGGAATATTAGCATTGTATAAATTGAGAAAAGTGGTCATGAATTATTATAAAGAACACTTTTCTCTGTTATTATTTATCCACTCTTAACAAATAAGGTATCATTGAACACTACAACAAATTTACTAACTCTTTTGTTTCTTGCAATCTTTTTGTAAATTTAAAGATTTTCATGAAATTTGGCATCAAATATGTTAAATGGCCACCATTTTGAAACGGTTTATGATTTTTAGTATAACTCTATGCGAAAATAGGACTTAATAAGATAAATATTTTTGCAAAGCCTCAACGCTGTATGTCAAACCGTTTAGGAGTTATAAATATAAAAAAGACGCATAAATACAGGCAGATGTTAAACTAGTCACCACAGACCCATGTTCCTATGGTGAAACTAGTTTGTCTTGACCTAAGCAATAACCTACATACATGTGTCGAGAGAGTTACGGGACACCCTGTATATTCATAAATAACAATAAGAAAGAACAGTGTTTGTGTTTGTGGCCTCTGGAGACATGTAGGTGGGTACACTGTTCTTAGGCCAAAAATAATATTTCGGAGGATATATGTAGGAGTTCTGAGGCCCTAGACGAATATTAACTACTCGGCGCGCGGTTTTGGTGTTGAAGCTCTGCTAAATAAGTGATTGTGATCTCAATAGACGCTGGGAGCGTGCTCTGACTAAAATGATCGGATTCTCTCTAATATGCTTATCACCTTTTAAAAATCTTAGGTTTTTAAAATAATGAATTAAACGTCGTTTTACTTAAAGTGATTATTTTGATTTTCTGTTATAGTACATTTATTAAAGTATTACTCAATACAGGATTTTGTTTGCAAGACTTGTGGCATACATGCCTTTATGTTCGGCAAATTGTATGTGATCCTCTTAAATTATGAGTGGTAGCGCAGAGATGGTATTTTCGATTCAGAATGGGGGAAAAAAACTAAAAAGTTCATATACGTTTGTTGCTTTGATTTTTACAAACAACGGAAGAGTAAAAAACTACATTTAATGTTTAAGACAATATAACAAATAACACATTTATATTACTGGAAGAATAAAACTCTAGGTAAGTGTGTAGGCCTAAACATCTTATTTTTTAATTCTTAATTCATTAGGGATGAAAAACTTGGGATTTTACTTTTAAGTCTATTAATATATAACCATCTATGTCTATTAATCATTACTGTTACCAGATATTTCTAGAACTATCAGAATATTGCCGTATTAAATAGTACCAAACAATGAAAAAAAGGGTATTGTGTTATTTCTTGGACAGAAAGATTCCATTATTAATGCTTAATACATCAAAGAGGTTTAAGCTATGTTGTACTGCTGCGGTTTGAGGGCTTTCAAATCCTATTTGCAGGTTTTCAAATGCATTTGCGTTGTACTTTTTATTTTAGAGGCTAAGTATAAAGTATTTAAAAAAAGAATTTGCAATTAGTAAAAAAAGTTTTAATGTAAAAAACTAGAAAAACACCTTAATTTTCTTGGAATTAAACTAAAAAGGTTTAAGTCGTCACAGAAGTTATTTATAAGTTGATATTCTTGTACAATATTATTTACGTACGTAAATATGCATTTACTGTGACTTGTAAGGACAGAAGCCCCTAAAAATATCAAATGTAAAAACAAATTATTTAATTATTTAAACAAACTAAGAATAAAATTATATATGCAACGGGACAGTGATCTCCTTGAACACTATTCCAACAAACATGTTGGTGAGTAAATACTGGTTAACTAAGGAAGCTTTGGTAGGTGATAAAAATGCTTCCCTGATTGGAATTTTGGAAATTTCTTTCTTGAAATATGAAAAGGCAAATAATATTCTGCTGAGATAAGCTTAGTTCTAGGTCAAAACTATAAAATTAGCACCCTGAAATGCTGCTGGGTAACCAAAACCCCATTTAAGCGTGTGCCTGTAAATAAAATACCACTTATCTATGTTGAGGTTTGAAGGCAGTAAGATTAAATAACACATCATAATAACAACATAAATTTATTTATAATGAACTCAATCATGCAACTACAATTGAATTGATTGTCTGGGTAGTCGAGTGGTTATAGTGCTCGCCTTCAAATCTGAAGGTCACTGGTTAAAATCCAAGCGAGATCGTTTCCAGACCCAGATGCCATCATTGGGCTATGAATTAATGATTCTATTTAACAAAAAGGTCGACGTTATATAGTAACAAGACCAGGGTTTGGACCGTCCCCTTTAAAAAACTTAAAAATGCCACTGGCGTAAAAACACGAAAAATTAAAAAAATAATAAAAATATGCATCACAATTTCAGTTTTTTAATAGGGAAATAAATAAGTTTTGCATCATAACATAAATTATAAATCGCAGAAATACAAGTCATAAAATGTCGGAATAATGTTTAGCCACGATTACTAAATTACTGCACAGATTAATGCTGGGAAGCTTCCAGAGTAAAACAAATTTAAAGTATTCAACAACGGAGGTAGGTATTTGACACTAATACATCAACATTTGAATGATCGAAAGTGGCTATCAAGAAAATTCATTTTGTGTTTCAACTTCTCCACACAAAAAAATTAAATAAAAAATTTAATGGTCGGTATCAACAATCTTTTTACATATTCATTATAATTCTTAGCACAAACATTATTAAACAATGTTGACAGCAAAATTGTATCTACTGAATAGCAATTAAATTTACCAAAACACAAATTAAATTACAAGGGGACATTATTTATAACTAATTAGAGCAAAACTACTCTTGAAGCGGAATGACTTTTGACATTTACAAAATGGTCTGTGAGGCATAAAGTCTAGAACTCGTGTAGAGGCAAAAATAAATGAATTTAGAGCTGTTTTGCCGAAAGAATGCCTACGGACCAAATATTTTGTTGATCGTACTCCTTAACCTAAAATACTCAACATGACAAATAAATAAAAGTATTATACACATAAACTACAATATTTTTGTATTCTGTCTTTATTAATGGGCGTAGAATCATTTGTAAGGCGGTAGGTGATAGTTAAATGTTTCCACAAGGACCAGTCCCGCAACGGTTTAAGTTTAAAGTTCAGAATTAAATCTACTTTATATAAAGTCTATTCTACAGGATCAAAAAATATTTACAAAAATTTTATTTTAATTAATTTTGGGAAAAGATAAGGTCTAGAAGAAATATTCTTGAGGTAAATGAGTAGGTACCACCTGAGTACTGAAGTTTTCAGGGTAGAGTACTCATTTGTAGGTTCCGGATGACAGTTGGAGGTTCAGGTAAGCCTAAGCCTACACAACTCTTCGTTAGATAAAAACATAACAAATACCGTACCTCTATCTGCAAATGATAAGAGCTATCAATATTTCTATGCTAAGTCTGAATGTTCAATGTCTCAGAACTAAGTTGTTAGCTGTTGTTGTTGTTAGTTGTTAAATCAGCTAAGCTGATTTATAGAACACTCACCGACTGACATTGTTTATGTATGTGAACACTGGTTGAATAAAAATGAAATAGCACACTATGATAACATGGAATATCTCGATTTAATAGGCTCCTGGTTGAGAGATAAGCACAACCATGGAGATCTAGCCATTTATGTAAATAGTTCAAATACTTTATTCGAAGCTAAGGCCTTGGATCTTGATAGTTATTGTAAAGAATTAGACATCGAATTAACAGAAATTACGCTGAGTAAATTAAACTGGATTGTTGTAGTGATCTACAGGTCACCTAACGGCTCAGTGGAGACTTTCTTCACTCAAATGGATAACTGCTTGGCATATCTTTCTAAATAAAACAAGAAAATGCTACTCACAGGTAACTTCCATCTGAATGAAAACTGTCAAATCACACTGAATTTTATAAACCGAATGCTTTCTTACGGTCTTTCGTAGCCAACAGAAAACCTACACTTGAGAAAACTGCCTGGAAACCATCGTGATAGATTTGCTGCCATCTGAATTTGAAGTAAACATCGTAGATCCATTAATATCTGACCATAATGCTATTATCATAAAATAAAGACACTTGTAAGTGATAATCATACATCCGACCCACTGTGGTATAACCATTATAGTTTCTATAAGAGGCCTATTTTGACGAATCTAATTTTGACATCCTCAATGAGGAATTATCTTATTACTATGTTAAGATTGAGATGGAATTATTAGTGATAAGTTACCAACTAATGCATTTGAAGGTGTCTTCGTAGCTTTTAAGGATGTGTTTGACAAATTTTTCCCTGTAGTGTCAAAAAAGCCCCCAATCATAATACAAAGGCAATACCCAAGACTAGAGTTAACAAAAGCTGGTACACATCAGGTCAAG